CTATACTACTTAAAAAATATGATAAGTTTACTAAGCTAGTTTGGACTAAACAAAACTAATTCTAAACTAGATACTCCAAACTTCTATCCCGGTCAAGCAAAGTTCTTGAAAAGATTTTTTTATCCCAGTTAGGCAAACTCTTTCATAATATGGCACTGGTTTCACTAGCGATAAGCAAATTTGTATATCAGCAGAAAGATAAGTTCCTCAAACGTTCTTCTTAAGGTCACTTTCAGGAATGGCTAAGTTCCTTAAATATCATGAAGCTTAGAGAATATCCTAATCAGGCAAACCCTATTCGAAAGAAAATTGTAAAATGGAACAAAAACCTTTTGGAGGGCTTTGATTTATATTTCTCTTTTCCTTTTTTTCAATATTAACTTTAGCATTTATTGTTTTTCGGAATAATCAATAGTGACAAACTATTGGCAATAACCTTGGTTAACTTAGAAACACTATTGTCAAGCTACTAGGAGAGTGAAATATTATCTATTAAATCTAATTTAGAGTATCTAGTTTAGAATTAGTTTTGTTTAGTCCAAACTAGCTTAGTAAACTTATCATATTTTTTAAGTAGTATAGTCATTTAACTAATAATGTATAATAACAAGTTAGTTACTTTATAAAAGTCTGTAAAATATTTAGGTATTTCTCAATATTTCAATAAAAATATGCCATTGCAACATGATTGCAGGTTAAAAAAATAAATATACAAATAAAAGTTTTATTAAGAGACTTGATCTTCTGAAAATAAATATTTCTGAAATATTCTTTTTAGTTATCAATTATGTATTAAAACATATAAATGTGATTAATAAGAGATTTTTTATATTTCAGAAACTAACATGTTTCATATCAGCCAATTATCTTTGATAAAAATTTATGTTATTAGAAATTTAAAATCAAATTAATATAAGTAAAATTTTTTAGAAAACCATAAAAGTGAAAGCTCTAAAAGAGCCAGAACAGTTTAAAAGCAAGAAAATAAATATTTTAATTGTAACAAAATCTTTATAAACCTTTTATTTTAAAGATTTTAAAGGTCTTTAAATACTTTACAATCAATTTTTCTTCCTTTGAGAACTTTTTTACTGTTGCTATCAAAGATGTTACTTGACATTTTTTGATTACTGGAAGTTAAACTTTTGTGTGAAAAAGTTTGTAAACAATAGAAAAAGAGTGAAAATAACTTTTGAAGTTAGACTTCAAGTTGTTTTAAGAAAAGTATTAAGACTTTATTAATAAAAAAGTAAAAAACTTCTTGTAAACATCTTTTTTGTATATAGTCAGAGGATTAGTAAAAAGAATTATAATTTAATAAGCATCTATAATATTACTTAACAAATAAAATATATATTATTACAGTTTTTTTTTTTTATAACTTTTTTGTTATAGATAAGAAAAATATTCTTGAATCTATATTAATTATCAAAATTTAAACTAGATTAAGAAAGTTGTATTTAAGAAAAAAAAACAATTATTGAAAATAATTTCAAGTAGTTTTTAAAGAATGTACAAAGATTTCATTAGTATAGAAATATTATAATTGTATTAAAAATTTAGAAAATAAATAGATATTTATTTATTTATTATATTTTTTGATTATCTAAAATTAATATATTCTCTATTGAACTTATAATAAACATAATACAATAGTTCTATTGTTATTTACTGTTTAAGGTTGAATAATTCAATGAGTCAATGAGTCAATAAACACTATAAATAGATATATAGCATTTGATAAATCAACAAGGTTATTTATTGATTATTATTTAACAGTATATTTGTTTGCAAAGAGCCAACAATTGATTCTTCCGCTGATGTTTTCAAGAATTGTAAAGTCAATATTTTGACGTAAAAAAAAAAAATTTTGACGTCCTTTTCGCTCACGACCAATCCATTTTAAATACATCGTCTCGAAGCCATTGGGATGAAGAGTTGGAGTCTACTGTCAAAAAAAAAAGACTTCGCGTTCACAGAAAGTAATTACATGGAATGATATGCAATGGGGATCCTAAAGTCAATTTTTATTTAAAGAGAAGATTTACAATGGTATCTGACATGTACACAGAACCCATTGTGCTTGGAGAAATATTTTAAGAAAATGAAATTTGATTGGCCAACCCTTTGGATTTAATGATCCAAGGGTAAACATCTGATCCTTGTTTACTTCATCTGCGGAACATGTAAAATGCCACAGAACGAGATATACAAGTTAAAACATAATTTTGGGGTAGGCAAACATCAAGTGAATCCAATCATCTTCTGCGCATAAAATGTTTACAAGTGCATGCCTCGTGTAATTTTTATCGTGAAAGAAAGGAATCTACGAAAACGGCTCTTTACGGTGTGAGTTTTAATCCATATGATCAAAAAGAGGATTCTGTTTTTGCGGTGGCAGGAGGACGTAACGTGAGTGTAGGCTTAACGCGAAGTTTTTTAAATTGAATTTTGATGCAATTGGCTCATTCATATTTAATACCGTGATAGATCATCATTGCTCATTTTGATAATACCAAGCCTGTTGCACTCGAAATTTTACAAACTTATGTGGATGAAAATGTAGGACGCCTTGACTATCTTTTTTTTTTTTATGCCTATTTCAAAAAGAATTAATACCTCATGTTTGTAGGAGGAAGAAAATTATTATTGCTGTGTATGGTCATTTGACCCTAACACCGGAGCGCCTTGGCTTGCCGTGGCTGGTGCAATAGGGCTTGTTAAAATATTGAACACGAGTAATGGAAGTATTGTGCAGACGCTAACAGGGCATGGTGATGCAAGTCATATATTTATATATGAATTAGTTATGCAAAACTTTTAATTTAATCGTTAAAAGGTTATGCTAATGTTCATTTCATTTCATTCTTATAGGAAATAAACGAAATCAAATTTCATCCGAAAATGCCATCTTTGCTTTTTTCAGCGAGCAAAGACTTCTCAATTCGGCTTTGGAATGTGATCACCGGTACGCCTATTGTGGTTTTCGGCGGGGAATGTGGTCATCGAGAACCGGTCTTGAGCATCGTAATATATGCGCATATATATCATGAATTTTATGGTATCGGAAACTGGATTAATTCCTGTTCGCGTAATCCATCTTTTAATTTCAGGACGTACACCTGTCAGGTGATTTCTTGGTATCCTCCGGGATGGATCATGCTGTAAAGATATGGTCTTTGTGTACACCTGTAATTAAGAATACCATTGAATCGTCAATTAAGCCTAAATCGCTTTCTCGATCTCAACAACGACAAAGTCAGACGCAGACGTGCTGCAAATCACATGGGCATCCCTCTACCCCGTTATTCGTGCACTTTCCCATTTTTTCTACAGCACAGTTGCATAATAATTATGTTGATTGTGTAAGATGGTATGGAGACTTGTTGATGTCAAGGTGTGCGGCCGATGCAAAGATCATAATGTGGAGACCGGAAGTTGAATTAGTTGCAAGCGACAGATCAAATGTAACAACCACTATAGTCGGTGGACCGGCTGTCCCTAGCAAAGTAAGTGCTATAATATCTTGTGCAATCAATGTTGCTAAAATTGATAATGGCAAAACAAAAAGTCAACAATAGTGAGAATAATGATATTAATTATAGTAATGATAACAATAATAGCAATTAAAAAAAAAAAAAAAAAAAAAACCAGCAATATAACAATAACAATAACAACAATAATATTAATGATGGTAGTAACATAACAAATTGATCAATAGTAATGATATTTATTTATTTATTGTTTTGTTTTCTGACAGCAACCAACAAGTTTTGAAATTATTTGTGAATTCGAGTTTGATCACTGTGACATTTGGTTTCTCCGATTTGGAATTTCCCAGGACTATCGATTGCTTGCTACAGGAAATCAAATTGGACAGATATTTTTATGGGATTTACAAGAAATTCCCTATCTCATTGATAGTTATATCGAGAAGAAAAAATTGAAAAGTTCGGGAGTGAAGATGGACAAGGTGGTGGTGAAAAAAAAGGGTGGTAATGGGTCAAACAATAAAAAATCAAAAGCTAACAATGATAGTGTTAGTGATATCAATGATAATGTTTCAACTCCAAGAGGAGTCAATCATAATGACGAGAGTGCGGGAAAGAAAGTGTGCAAACCAGCTATTCTAGCCGATTCCTGTGATAGTACAATAAGACAAGTGACCTTTTCCGGTAATAGACAATGGATGATTGCAGTTTGCGATGATGGAACCGTCTGGGGGTGGAAATTGAATAGAGAAGTGAGCGGACAGGCAGCTGGAAGCAGTAGATATGATCCGATGGTTATCGATGACTGACGTAACGAGATAAGATTATTTTAAAAATCACTTCTCTCCTTTTGATATAATTGCTATTGTTTTTTTAATAAATCTATTCTATGAATTGAGCTTTGAACCTCGAAACATTATTTTGGTTGGTTCTACAATTCTAATCTTTCCAACGTGTAAGGATTGACATGACCCAATTTCGAATCCCCAGTGAGCGATGTATTTTGATACGACTACCAAGCAGGTAACTTTGACGCTGGCGGTTCGTGTTCTTGCTCGTATTCGACTTCAACATATGCACCTAACCCCCCAAAATGTCAAATAAATAAATTATATGGGTATATAGAGTAAGCTTATCTGATTGAATTCACGGGGTGGCCCACTTACGTTTCTTCTTGCCTTGTCGTAAATCTTTGGTCTCCGCATCTTTTCTCTGAGAAAGAACGTGATATCATGAATAATGGATTCAATAAAACTAGAATTAAATGGTTGCATACTTTGATTGCACGTTGTTCTTCGATCCCTTCTTCAATTTCTCCTTCAATCTCCTGTTCATTTGAATCATAGTCACTTGATTCGATTTCCTGTTTAAAGAGGTTCTTAATTTTTCGATTCCCGAAGATATCGATTTAGGCGAACCGTTCACAAACAACCATTACCTCTTTCTCATTGTCTCTCTTTTCCTCTTCCTCAATTATTTCTTCCAAATCTTCTAATTCGACTTCACTATCATCTTCAACAAACTCGCGCGTCTATTTTTTTTTTTTTTTTTTTTTTTAAAAAAAATTTCCATCTTTTAGTTAACCGTTGAAAAACGATACTAAAAAAAGTAATAATTTTTTCATGATCTTTATAAGGAGAATCCGAACCTCCAAGTCCTCCACTTCACTTTCCTCGGTTACATCATCCTCCGCTTCTAATTTGTCACCTTCTAGAACGGATCTCCAAACATCCTCGTTGACATTCAATGGTGTATCACCATATGCTTTACTTTTCAGACGGCTTATCAACTCTTTCTCGATTGCCTTTTCCAATCGTGCTGCTGCTTCCGCTTTCCTTTCTCTGGTAGCTTCACGTCTTTCGATTTTCTTCTTGATCCCAACAAGCTTTGGTCTTTATGATGAGTGATCGTACGAGAAAATTAGATTTTGAAAGCAATGTCGGTATTGATCATAACGCGTACCTGTCTTTCAATTTTAATTTTCTCATTCGTATTAAATACTGCGTGATCTTAGTTACACGTTGTTTACACTTGTGAATCAAAAAATCAGACCAATCCAGTAATTCCTTGTCTATCTTTAAATGACAAAGCGATTTTTGGTTTTGATGGGATTCATTCCAAAGGATTTTCAAACTTCATCATCCCTTACCTGCTCTAATGCCTTGGCGTAATTCTTTGATAGCCTAACTCGTTGCCACAGTCGTGATGGCATATGCGCTCTCTCAGGAGTCTTGGTGTACAAATAAAGAACACCTATTAAAAAAGACGCTTGATTTCAGGGCAGAATGGAGGATGAATATTTCTTTATAAGTGAACAATTTTAATACCATCGACCTCACGAACTGTTGCATATTTGCTGTTCGCTAGAGGGCAAGATTGCCTGCTACAAAATCCTGTGACATTGTACTCGTTTCGGCAAAAATTCTGAGTTGTTGTCCTATGGTAGCCCGTGGTTAATTGATAAATGCATTGCGATGAGAATTTTCTTTAAGCAACTGGTTTAGAGGATGAACGATCATGACACAATTACTTACTTAACCTTGTAAGAGCAGAATTGTTGGTTAATAATTTGCCAAATTACATCGTCAGACATGTCCAGTTTTTTTTTTTTTTTTTCCTTGTTTTTCTGATCACCGATGTTATGATGGTTATATATACGAGGGAAAAAAAAAAAAAGTTTTGCACGTGACTGATAAGGAAAATGAGCCAATAAATCATGTGACGGAACTACGATCCCGGGTAGTAAAATGAAGTCGGCTTTAGTGTGGCGAGTCGTAGGCCGATGTTCAACGACAAAAGCTCGAGTCGCTGTGTTAACGTTACCTCACGGAATTGTGGACACTCCTGTGTTCATGCCGGTTGGAACACAGGGAACCTTGAAAGGGTTAACGCCAAAACAGCTGAAAGAGTTGGGGTGTCAAATTATGCTAAATAACACTTACCATTTGGTAATCTAAAAGTTCGCGTTTGCTTCAAAGGACATTGGTGGTAATTTGTGCGAGATCCTTATTGGCAATGATGCTTGATTTTTTTGATGCTTCGTCGTAGGGGTTAAAACCGGGTCAAGAATTACTGGAAGGAATCGGTGGCTCACACAAATTTCAGAATTGGGAAGGAAATTTGTTAACCGTAAGAATTCAATCAACATGACAGTTTGAAACTTTACGATTGCCGGTTCAAACCGAAGTCAATTGATAGGATAGTGGAGGTTTCCAAATGGTCTCCTTGTTAAAGTTGGCATGTATCACGGAAGAGGGAGTGGAATTTCAGTCACCGCATGATGGATCAACAATGCTACTCACACCCGAGCATTCGATCTCCTTGCAAAACTCTATAGGAGCAGACATCATAATGCAGCTGGATGACGTGGTGTCATCACTGACAACGGGTCCAAGGGTGGAAGAAGCTATGCGCCGATCGATCAGGTGGTTAGATCGGTGCATAGCCGCCCACAAAAAACCGGACTGTCAAAATCTATTTGCCATCATACAAGGCGGTCTGGATTTCAACCTAAGGAGAAAGTGTGTCGAAGGTACTTTTGAGATTTTGCGATTCCTTCTAGTAATTTATGCTAAATATATGATGTGCTATACAAGAGATGATATTACGCGACACTCCGGGGTATGCCATCGGTGGTCTGAGTGGTGGTGAAGAAAAGGATATTTTCTGGAGGATGTAAGTCGTCTTTGCTCTTATGACAAGGTTTCACACTTTCGCACGATGATGGTAGCATCTCGTTTCTTCCATAATCTTCTCAGGGTGACTCTATGCACCGATTTATTACCAGATAATAAGCCAATATATTGTATGGGAGTAGGATACACCGAGGATTTGATCGTGTGTTCAGCACTAGGAGTCGATATGTACGACTGTGTTTTTCCGACGCGTACGGCGGTTGGTATTCTCTTCGTATCTATTCTTTGTTTTTGGTTATCTTGGTTAACTCTATTATAAAAATTAGCGTTTTGGAAATGCGCTGACATCCAAGGGAACGTTAAATTTGAAATCCAGCAAATTTTCCAAAGATTTTCGACCCATCGAGGAGGATTGCGATTGTTTGACCTGTAAATCATTTACCAGGTCATATGTTCATCTGCAATCCACGCGTGAAACGGTTGGATGTCATCTCATCACCATTCATAATGTTTCATACCAATTGAGATTAATGCGCAATATCAGGAATGCTATCATTGAAGATAGGTTTCCACCATTTATACAAAAATCATTCAAGGATCTATTTGGTGGCGCGGATAAATACCCCGAATGGGCTGTCAATGCTTTACAAAGTGTCAATGTAACGCTGATTCCTTAAGCACTGTACATAATAGGTGGCTGTGACCAGATGTTTGAATCAGTGTGAACGAGTTGTGAAGTCAATGGTGTTTCGTGACACGCGTACATTTGACCATGAATATATATATATGTATTATTGAAAATTGAGAATCAAATATATTATCTATCATTATAAATATTCTATAATTATAAAATTTTAAAAATCCCATTAAACCCAAGTCCCATCGACAAATTCGAGTAGAATCACCACTCGGTCAACGTCATCCATTTCCTTCCACTCGTGGGTCCAAGATTGAGTCCCATCGCTGCAAGTCTTGCTCTTGCCTTCTCGTTGAAATTCCTTTCCCCGGTGCCAGTTTCCGTGGTCGCGCCGAGGAGCGTGTCGATCCCCGCCGACCTAAAATCTGTACGAGCTTGCAGATACGGGAGAATGTATTTGATATCTAGCTTGGCAAGATAACCTTCGTTTAGCACAGATTTAAGGATTTCTGGCTTTACGATGAATAAATTTCCCAGTTGTCTCAGCATTTCAAAGCGTTCGTCCAATTGAGGAATCTTGAAGAGAGCAATGGTTTCTTGATATTTGGCGATGTCTCTATAAAAAAAAAAAAAAAAACCATCAATCGCCTAGAGGAATAAGCGGGTAAGGTTGAGCATGCGAGAAATTCAAGCTCACTTTGTGAGGACCAGACCACCCGCAGCGCTCACGGCAAACTTTTTAAAATGCTCAAGCAACATACTATCGAATGAAAAATAAACTCTTGTGAAGTCAAGATTTTAATAAAATTAGGGGAATAAGCACATGGAAATACCCGTAAAATGCGATTCCTATCTCGGACAAGAAATGTTCAAAGTTCTTGCCATCAAGAAGTTGAGATACATTCGTTTGAACCTTCTTCAGGCAATCGACGCAAGCATTGCAGGGCTATAAAAGATTGCGATCCGCGTAAACATAAAAAACCGATCCGCAACGTGAATTCGTAATAATACTTGCCGCAGTTGCTAAATTGGCGATATTATCATCTTCATCTTTGGGTCGAAAATCAACTTTCTTCTGACGCAATAATAAATGATTTAGCCTAGCAATAATGGCTAATACATACATGGTTCCATGAGTGTAAGGGCATGACCGCCACGTAAACGTAATAATTTGCCTTTACTCGCCTTCAATCATCCTCTGGACAACCAAGTTCATCTTATTTTCTACGCCCATCATGAATCTATTTTTATCGAACGTGAGTTCACGATGTATCGTCAGAGACGACGAGGCCAAAGGAAGCTGTTTGAATTTTTGGTAAATATCGTAGAATGAAAAGGTTTCACAAAGTTTAGAAATTGCTCCCTTACAACTGCGGCTTGGAAATGATTTTGGGATAGGTGAATGATGTCGCGCGAGTTCTTGATGACAATAAAAGGTTTGAAATCAGACTCGGATTTTGGATCTATTGCTGCGACTTGATCCAAGCAACTTCACGGGTTGTCGTTAACATCCGATTGAAGACCAGTTAGGAGAAAGTCATTCGCAATCAAGTATCAAGGTAATATCGGATATATCGAATATGAAGTGCTTACGTGTCCAAGGAGAATTCCACATACTGTTTTCCTATGAAATCCAGTAATGTGTGGAATAATATACTGACAAACTTGGGTCTACACCGAGGATAAATTTCATTAATGGTAGGATGACACATCAAATTGAGAAAAAGCAACCAATCTTTTTTTTCACATACAATTCCGATGGAGGACTAAGTTGCACAGATCGTCTAATGGATTCAGCGTGTATTTTAAGGATCAACATAGAAACATTGATCGAAAGGTTTCCGTCTTCCTCGGTTGTAGGAATATCAAGTAAAGTTTGAGATGACGTCGTTATCTGATTCACGGCACGTTGAATCAAACTTGTGGCTCGTGCTTGTTTTTGCTGAGTCTAAGAAAAAAACGGTGTTTTGCAAATGTTAGAAGGGATGATGATGACCTCAAAGGAAGGAATTCAATCGATACGTGCATGATAAGCCGTAAATCTCAATAACAACGAAGAATACAATTCTCCCAGGGATTTCTTTTCCTTCTCGATGTAACGATCACCTTCCGTATACGGAACAAATAGATCTTCAATGCACTGTTCCAAAACTTCTGCGATGGTGTTGTTCCCGCGAGAACCCTCTTCGCTCGGTTCGAATAAGTTATGATCGGATAATCCTTTTTGACGAATGTCAAGGCTCTTCAGGTCCTCAGCAAGTTCTTTCGTGGCAACATGCACTGCCGCCAATGAACGCAAATAGGCCAATGTAGAGTTATTCTCGGCGTGGGTCAGAAGGCTTTCGAGATATGTCTGGATCTGTTCATTAAAGAATAAGGAAATTTATAGCGCCGCATCGAAAAACCCTTGTATTCTCAAACAACATTACATACCAGTTGAGCAAAAATACGCTGCAAGAAAACTTGCATGACGCCGATTGGATTAGGGAAGACAGCATTTATGACTTCGGCTTCTTGCTTCACTGTCGTCCTTATTTCTTCGTAAAGGTTTATGAGCCCTTGATCAACGGGAGGTGGTGGAACTTGTGGATTGGGCAAGTCATTCCAACTGACGTCACATAATAATAATGATACTAGGTCACCCACTTAATTACTTCAAAATCAAATCACTCGTTTGCTTTGAGATGGATAGGGCGTTCACCTTGTACTGCTCAAGAATTCAATAGACTGACCGAGATTTACTTTTGAGATAAAGAATTCGTGCTGGTTCACATACAGCTTAATGCAAGACTCACAACCATTAAATTCTTGGAGAGTTTTTGCACAGCCCTGCGAGATTTCCTCAATTTAGTTAACTAGGAAAGATGACAGCGGTGATCTTGTAATCAGATTTATCGAGTTATATAGACCTTCATTGTCGTAACATCCTTTCGCCTATATGCTCTGTCAAATTGTTCGAGCAATTCTTTTTCTAAAACCTCGCAATACTTTTCGATACGTGCTCTGGCCTTTGCGCGCACGTTAAAAACAAAAATCATCGTTAAATGATAGCGATGGAAAATGATGATATCTACGACTTCAGGAACTCACAGCTTCAGCACCGGGAATATCAACCTCTTTAGCAATAGCATTTAGTCTTCTGGCGATGATCGCAGCCTGAAGAAGAGAGATTTGGTGAGACTTGCTATTTATTCAAAAGGGTTCTCCGAATTTTTTTTTTCTCAAGAAAAAAAAAACAAAGGAACCTTGAATTGACCATCCTTTCCTCTTGCTCGCTGATTCTCCAGTCTCGCTATGTCACCTCTGTTGAATGCCATGAAGTATTCTATCAAATCCTTCGATTCTGAAGCCCGAAGTCTTTGCCTGTCGATGGTTTCCAATTGTTCGCCTTTTGGCAAGGGATGAAATGAATATCCCCAATCAAATCCTGATAAATTTAAGAACAACTGGTTGATCATTTGACCTACCGATTCTGATGGCTATGTTGCCGACTTCGTTAATTCTTGTCTCCAAAGTTTCAAAAGAATGCACGACATCCTGCAAATGAAAAATTAGTTGAATCACGATCTCAAAGAGCATTTCTAAGCCCTTTTATGCCCAAATGCGAGGTTTCATACCTCAAAGGTGACTTTTAATTCGTGCAGCTTTTTACGATGGCCCGCCTCGGTTAATTGCACACTTGCTTCCAGGTCCTTGCTTTGCTCTGTCACCGTTTCTCGCAATTTAAGAAGTTCATCAATGGATCTTTCGAAGGTCCTTATGAATGGTTTTGGATCAAACGCTATCGTCATAAATAGGTTTTGCGCATTAGAAACTCAACTGTTTTACTCTTATTGCAACTAAATGCGATAGCACTTCAATTCACCTTTGGGATTGGCATGTTTTAATAAGTTTTTTGATGTGTTTTCCACGAAATCTCGGGTGGTGAATTTACCCTAAGTGACGATGAAAGAAAGAAGGATTCCTTGTGGTTCGGATCATTGATAATTTTGTGGACGGAGAAAAAAAAAAAAGTAAAATATAAACTGATGAAAAGTCTATCGGACCTGAAATGTTTCAATTTTCAGGACCGCTCGAACCTCTGGATCTAAATCATAGGGGTTAGCGGAAGGCATGATGATTCCTTTCAGAAGAAAATTTCACTTACGACGAGGAATTTAAAGTTTCTAGGAAGTGCAGGCCTCGTCCCCAGCCTGATCGGCATTGCTCGATTTCCAATCTTAAGAGCCAATCAGGGATCGTTTTTACGTTTGACACTGGGAAAGCTTATCAAGCCTAATTAATAAAATAACAAGGTTACGAATACGAAATACCTTAAATTTTTTAACGACAAACTTTAAAAAAAATTTTTTTTCTTTTATCTTTTTTTTTTTTTTTTTATTATAACGAACCCTCCCACCCTATAATTATTGAACGACAAAGACTTTAACGTTTATATTTACACTGTAACAGGCTGGCCGTAAAAATAATAGGCAAAATAATTTGAAACATCTGTATCACTTCCGTCTTCCTAGAGAACTCCATCTGACCTTCCGGCTTTGCCTTAATTTCCATAAGACGTGATAACTCTATACAAACATTAAGATCTTCCACAATACCGCCTTAAGATTACCCTTAGAGGTAACTATTTTGGTCAAGTTGTAAATAAAAACGTTGAGCGTTTCGATAGGGAAATCAACTGTTTATATTAATCTGTAAAAGTTTAATCACATAATGCTGCAAAAAAAAAAAAAAAAATGTTATTCTTCGAACCTCGTCATATTCGCCTTCACACTGACTTGACTTTCTGTTCGCGTCTTCTTCCAGCTTTCCTGCTAAGCGCGGCAACCTTTGAGCTCGAGGGTAAAAACGCTGATAACGATCAGCAAATTTATCTTTCGAAAAAACAATTTGGTATTTGCAACTTGCATTCTCGCATACTTATGCTAAGTATACCTAGAAGGATCTCTTATAGATCATTAATAGATCATCCTATAGAAAACTTATAAATCATATATCCACCGTATTTTACAAGTTTAATACTCTGCAAGACATTTATTTCGTGACGTCACACGCAAAAAAAAATTTTTTTTTTTCATATATACTTTTTTTCTCCCTTGGGTGTTTCCACATCAAGATTCTTCACTGTTGTGCTGAAATTCTGTTGGATCTGTAAACTCGAGAACAATTTATGTGATGGCTGTGCATCCAATCACCACCGCTGCGTTCATCTTGAATCGATCAAAGAAACTGGTTTCCAAGTTAAACAAGAAATATAATTTTGGAGGGAATACCAGTAATAACGGTCACGGAAATAACAAGAACAATCAGCAAGATCCAGATTACCTGTGTAAACAGGGTGAAACTTTCCTATTTGGGCGAGACGGAGTGGCTAAAGATGAAAAGAAAGCCTTCGAGTATTTTCAACGTGCTTCCCTACTAAATCATGCTAAAGCTCAAGGATTGTTGGCTTTTTGTTATGAATTTGGGTTGGGGATTGAAAAGGATTTTAAGCAAGCTGAATTAAGCTATATTCCCTCAGCGAAATCTGGTGATGGATTAGCGCAAGCTAGACTGGCATTCCTGAGAAGGTATGGACGGCCCTCCGTGCGTATTGACCGAGCCGAAGCTGAAATGTGGCAACAAAAGGTTAAAGAACGAGGGAAGGTTGCCATAGAATGGTTATTTTATGCTGCGTGTAAGGAGAACCATCCAGCTGCCCAATATTCCCTGGGTGTCTGTTATCACGATGGAGTTGGGGTGGACAAGAATGAGTCCGAGGCCTTTAAGTGGTACAAGAAATCCGCAGAACAAGGCAATCCACGCGGTCAAGGGATATTGGGTTTTTGTTTTGGCGAAGGGTTTGGTGTGCAAAAGAATGAGGTAAAAGCCATGCATTGGTATCGCAAGGCTGCTGAGCAAGGAGAGTCAGTCGCAATATACAATGTTGGCTATTGTTACGAGGATGGTGTTGGTGTCGAGAAAGATGTGGTCGAAGCGGTTAAATGGTATCGCTTGTCTGCAGAACAAGGAAATGCGTTCGCCCAAAATTCCTTGGGATATTGTTATGAGGATGGTATTGGTGTTGAGCAGGATTCGGTCGAGGCTTCCAAGTGGTATCGTAAATCAGCAGAGCAAGGTTATCCTTGGGCGGAATGTAATTTGGGATATTGTTATCAAAATGGTATTGGCGTTCCTAAGGATGATGAGAAAGGTGCTTATTGGTACCAGAAGGCAGCCCTCCAGGGTCATGCCCGTGCTCAACACAATCTCGGTTTCTGCTACCAGAATGGCATTGGTGTTCCAAAAGATGAGGTTGAAGCTGTTAGTTGGTATTTAAAATCAGCCGAACGTGGTAACATCTTTGCCTACCATTCACTCGGGTATTGCTATCAAAATGGTATTGGAGTTGCGGTCAACGAAGTCGAGGCTGTTTACTGGTACTTTCTATCAGCCGAGGAGAACCACGCGCCAGCTCAATTGAGTCTCGGATATTGTTTCCGTAATGGTATTGGCGTGGAAAAGGATGAATTTGAAGCTGTTAAATGGTTTACGCTTGCTGCTCAACAAGGCAATGCTTTGGCACAAAATTCTCTGGGATATTGTTATGAAGAAGGTCTTGGAGTCGACAAGGATGAAAGCAAAGCCGTCTGCTGGTACCAACTTTCTGCCAATGCCCAAAATCCGTGGGCGCAATGTAATCTAGGATTCTGTTATGCCAATGGCATCGGAGTGGAAAAGGACGAGTTCGTGGCCTTCAAGTGGTACAGTGCTGCCGCTGCGCAAAATCACGCCCGAGCACAGGACAAGTTGGGCGTTTGTCTTCAGCTAGGTGTTGGCTGCGAAAAGGATGAAGTTTCTGCGTTGCATTATTTTCGCTTGGCTGCTGATCAAGATCACCTTGCAGCAATGTTTCATCTGGCCAATGCATTGGAGAAGGGAATCGGATGTGAGGTTGATTCAGAAGGTGCCATATATTGGTTTGAGAGGGCGGCAAGCTCTGGTTGCAGAATCAGTTGCGACCGATTGAAACGATTGTTGGTTAGGGAATGTTTGGGACATAACTCGAGTGGTGATATTTATTTAACTGGGTGCTACGCTGCGGCCGCATGATTTTAAAAAAATTCGCATTCGCCTGCAAAAAAAAAAAAAAAAAAAAAATGATTAAAAATAATCGTGAAAATCAAAAATTTTTAAATCAATCGTTGATCCCTTCGGTTTAATTTATAGACATTGTATAACTTATGTTTGGTTATGCACCACAACTTGGTATCATAACGATTCCACGGATCCGGTAGCCATTATTTTTGTTAGTGGTGAATATATATATACACAGTATGTATATTTCAAAAAAAAAGAAAAAGGGTTATTGGGCAAGCAAGAAAATGATGATTTTCGTTTTTTTTTTGATTCAATTCATTGTTTTCTTTCGGCTTGCGTAAAATTTGGGTTTTGTTTTATTTTTTTTTCTACTATGAAAAAGCAAATGTCGGATTATTGATTATTAAAGAAATCGAGATGGTTTTTGGGCAATGTACTCGAGAAATTTTATGTACGTGGATCACCCATTGAAAATTCCTCACCACATGTGCATATCGTTATCACGAATATGGACATCTATGTCTGCAAATATAAATAACTTGATACACGGTAAGTCGGCCCGTTAACTATTCCTGGCTAACCGGACTCACACGTGTAAAATGTTGACGTAATAATACCTACAATAAATGCGCAATGAAGAAGATCAACAACAATTTCCTGATTTTACCAGTTTCTACTTTTCTTACTTCAACATCCAACGCTCCTTTGTATATAACATATTCATATACAGCACTTGTCTATTTCCTTTTCATTCTTTCAAGGGATTTTTGGTTTTTTAACAGAGAGAAATGAGTTCCACCACCGCCACCGCCTTGCGACAACAAAATCAGAATCGTAATTCTGGACATGTAAACAGCCTGACTCAGGAGCAAGCCGAATTACTTCGTTTTTGCTGGGAAGCAATATTATCTCTGTTCGAAACTCAAAACACACCAAATGGGACAAGCGATTCATCAAAATCTACAAACAAGAATGCAAAGAAGACCAATGGACAAGATTCTGCGCAGGGTACGTCTAGATACAATAATTTAACACGCAAACTGAGACCCAAACAAACTTCCGAAACCACAAACAATGACGAGAACAATGTATCTGATAAGTATAACGAATCGGCCGAGTTTTTATCAGCTATGAAACTATATAGTCCTGAAGTAATTCGTCAAGCGTTTTGGAGTTTAACTGCGGCTGATGATCCTGACGTGATTGTCCTACGTTTCCTTCGTGCAAGGAAGTGGGATGTTGAAAAAGCCATTGCGATGTTGTTGTCAACGTTAAAATGGATGTTGCAGACTGGAGTTCAAGAGATCATCGGAGGTGGCGAAGAAGGATTGATCGATTATTTTGATGGAAAAGGTGAAAAAAAAGGAATGATCGTTCAATTCACAAGTGGCAAAAGCTTTGTCAGGGGGACGGACAAAGACGGAAGGCCAATCTGGTAAGAACATTGTTTCACATTATCTACCTTTGTTTGACCTTTGTTTACCTCGTGTTCACTCTTGTTTTCAAGTTATATAAACGTCCGCTTTCATAAGAAAGAGGAACAATCCTTTGAGGTTCTCCAGAAATTTACCGTTTACGTGATGGAGACCACTCGTTTGATGATTGAAGCTCCTGTCGAAACCGGGTGTCTCTTGTTTAACATGGATGGATTCAGTCTTTCCAATATGGTACGAGTTCAACTATCTGTTCATTGTGACTTAAATATGATGATAGTTCCACAAAAATAATATATTACTTTAGGATTTCCCCTATGTCAAATATATGATCCAATGCTTTGAAGCGTACTACCCGGAGAGTCTTGGAGTTCTGATAATTCATAAGGCCCCTTGGGTGTTTTGGGGCTTATGGAAATTAATATCCCCTCTGTTGGATCCTGTTGTGGCATCAAAAGTTCGCTTTACTCAAAATGAGAAAGAACTCTTGGAGTTAATTCCTGCAGAACATTTGATTACGGAGTTGGGCGGAGAAAATTCGTGGAAATATCAGTATGTTCCTCCGGATGAAAATGAGAACTATCGAATGAAAGATGAGGCTACCAGGGAACACAAGCGGGAATACAGGCATTCTCTGGAGCCGGAATTTGAAGGTTTAACGAGACAATGGATCAAAGATCCAAATAACATTAAAATAAAAAATGAAAGAGATCAATTGAAACATCAACTCAGAAAAGCTCAATTGGAATTGAATCCTTACGTCAGGTCTAGAACATATTATCATCGCACCGGGGTGCTTAAAGAAGATGGAACTTGCGATTGGGGACATAAGTAAATGAAAATCAGACATGTCTTCTAGTCGATTGTTTTATTATTGATTTTTATATGCCTTTCATCATTCACAATTAGCACCATAACATTAACATCCGATATTTAATTAAAATACATGTCATGTCTAATAACCATTACTTAAACCGCCTGGTTCTTTCTTTATTTCTCTCTCTCTCTTTTTTTTTTTTTTTTCGCTTTTGGGGGGTTATTCTTTATAGTCACATAGAATCTATTATAGATATGAATTTTCATAATAAAACCTATATGTTAATGTTGTATCACTCGTAGCAGTAATGACTTTTTTTTTTCTTACTACTACAAGAGGTAATAAATAAATTAATAAACAGATCAGATAAACTTTCACGTCAACCCGTGCATATCAGAAAATTATGAGTCGCAGCAAAATGCCACATGAACTCGAATGTAATAATTACTTTTTTTTTTTATTGTTCGGTAATCGAAAAGAAGTCATCACTGGACTCACTTTCCAAAAAATCAATGTTCGTTTTTAAAATGGGTTTGAAAAATTCTATCAATAATATCCAACACAGTTGGAGAAATACTTTTCACTTAACCAACCGTATCCTGGGGCTGGTCGTATTCCAGTGTATCGGTCATATAGAAGCACAGGTATGCCTTGCGTTTACTTTGCAACACTTCTTCTACACTGGTCAGCTTTACCGTGTTATCGTCAAATTGGAACCATTGGCCGCGGCTTCGGCAATATGCGGTGTAGTGACCGGTGTTGATCTTTCCGTCATGATTTACCACAGAGATCAACTTGTATTTGTATTCAGGAAAATCATTCAACGTTCCGCCCCCCACGAGAACTTCCTGTGCTCTGCTAGTCCATCTCGCCATGTTGATCTCTTCAGGGAACTCGAATTCTGCCTCGTTTTTCATTGTTGGATTTTGGAAGCGTTCAACGATAAAGGCCAAAACGGGTGGTAATTTCTTGCAGCTGATCCGTTTGGAACTACATGCTTTCGTGTGACAATCATCACATATAAACTCCGGAAGTTGTTCTTCCGCGGTGCATCTTTCAAGGCAGTCATAAAGTGAATTCTTGTGCTCTCGGGTGCTGCCGTTAATATTTTCGGCTGCAGCCTTAGAATGTCCGTTCTTTTTCTTCGAGACAACCTCATTACCACTAAGGTGGAGTTGCCATTCGATCGAGTGTTCGTGTGTTATATTTACATAATTGCAATTTTTGCACTTGACTCGAGTCTGAAAATGACCACCAAAGGTTTTATGCATGATGCACTCGCATTTGACGTCAATACTATTAAGGTCACCTTCGTGCTTTTCCTTGGAATCCTTATGCATCTTGCTGATCACCGCTATGAAGAATTCGTGGGCATCTTGTTCGGCGTATCCGGCGAGTTCCTTCGAGCTAAGCCACATAGCATGAAGGAAGCTACACGGTGGGTATGGTTTCTTCTCGCCAGAATGAAATTCCTGAAAAAGATTGTCAATTTCGCAGCACATACAACCTTTGTTTTTACATATCTCCCTGCTATGTTTGTTCGATAAGAAGTAGGTTTTGACGATGGGGTTTGTTAGGAATGTTTGTAACATCGCATTCATGAAACACGTAGCACCCATGTTGAATAGACCTCGTAATCCGGAGCACGGGATGAGTGTCGAATTCTTGGCGATCCTGTTGATTTCTTCAGGCGTGGGTTGCCATGAAACGTATCGCGCACGTTTCACGCATGGTTCCCTGATATTTGATGATTTTTCCGCTGCGCGCACTTCTGCCAAGATTTTGGCTCTATCAAAATCAAAATCGTAGACGAAATCATCGCATTCAAAGCAGTATATGTGCAATCTTTCCAGATGAGCTGCGAATATGTGGTTTGTTTTGCCATAATGCTTTCTGGCATGCTTCTGATTGTACCAGCAACCTATGAAAATACAATCCAGACAGGCGAGCAGCAGATTGTCGTGAACCTTGCAACTTAAGCATCCCGAAATTCTCGTGTTTTTCTTTTGATGACCGTTACGGGAAATCGGCATTCCGTATCCTTGCCAATACATTGACACATCACAAAGGGACTCATAGTTGACAAGATAATAAGGATTACTCTCTTTGTATTCCTTAAGGTGCTGGCATCCATGCCTAGAGGAAACAGGTCGAAAGTTTTGAGTTAACTGAGTCGCTCGAACTGTTGGTGTTTGAACATGGAATTCTGGATGTTCTAGAACTTGTGCTGAAATAAGTTCATCGGTCTTCCTTTTGACACCTTTTTTGTTGACCTTTACTGTTTTAAGCTTGAGCGGGGTTTCTATGACCGCAGGTTTCATTGGTTTTATGTCAGGTTCCGGAGCACTGTTATGGTTCGACTCCGAAACGGTAACTTCCTTTGGTTGCTGCGCTTTTTTTCTTGTAAAAGTGGTAGATTTCTTGGGTTTATTCTTACTTTTTGTTTTGTAATTTCCTTTTCCTGACATTTTAAAAAAGTTATCTGAACGTAAGGTAACTAATAAAAAAAAAAAAAAAAAAAGTTAAGTGCCAGTCAACCAACTTTTTATACTTTTTTAACTCGGAGAAAATTAGCCAATTACATCGCATTATAACTGCGCATTTTTTGGGGGAAATTTCATTCTGACCAATGGACGACAAGAAATGCGTTCAAAAGAGAATGAGGAAATTGCCGCATAATTAATCCGTAGGTTGTAAAACTGACCAGGGTTCCAGTTGACCAGGGAATTAGGTGATCGGGTTCCAAGGACTTGGTAACTGGCATTTCCGACTCATTCATTTTATATTGTTAATGGCATTATTCATTTACATGTAACGAAACGAAAATTTATGGTACCATGCATCATCCATGGTGACTAAGCGTAAGCCAGCCAAAAATAGAAAATTGGGATTTACAAACAATCACCCATATATTTACGTGCCTCAATGGTTATTTAAAAAGCGTTAATGATTTTTTACCCGATAAAATCGAGTTTAAAAAAAAAAAAAAGATTAGATTTAATGTATCTATAAAACTTGATTTAAGAAGCTTTGGTCGGCAAATAGCACATGTCTATTATATAATATGAAATTTTGTGCTATTACGTTCGTGGACATTAAGCTCCCTTCTGAAACATCTAAACTTCTTGGATCGTTAAATATGAGAAATTCATATACAGTATAAAAATATTAATTATTTTATATAGAATATATACTATTTATTTCATTTTTCTCATAATTAATCTTTATTGAAGTAAAAATACAAATAATATTACTGTATGTCGATATTCACATGATGATTTGTATAACCTATTTAAAATATAAAAAGTTTACCGAGCTTGTTTAAACTAAACAAAATAAAGTTTCTAAGTCAGGTATAAAAAACAATATTTTATTTTTTTCTGGTTTTGCACTTTGATCTCTGATTCAAAAAATAGTTTGTCACTATTGATGATCTTTAAATAGATAAATCGTTGATATTATTTAAAGATTTTTATTTATATTTATTAATTTTTTTCAAAAAAAATATATATAAATTTTTAAAATATTTGTATTGAAGGTCAATAAACAAGTTTTAATTAATCAAAAACTAAAAAATTATTTTAAACAAGTAAAAAAAACACTTGTATTTATTTATTTATTTATTTATTGTGAATCTGATTGATCCATGAATGGGATATGAATCAGATCAAATCAAATTTTAAAATTTTTAATTTGATCAAATTCAGATCAAATTGAATTTTAAATTTATAAAAAATTATCAGATTTAAACTGGATTTAGATTAAATCCAAATGGATTCAAATCAGATTCAAATCAAACTCAATATAATTCAAATCAGATATACATCAGTCTATATAAATTGTTATATAATTATTTAATTTTATTTAAATTGAACTATCTAGAAAATTAAAATCGAACTATCTAAAAAATTAAAATAAGTTTTTTTTTAAAAAAAAAAAAAATAATATAAAAGGTAAGTTAAAAAAAATTTCAATACTTGTTCTTCTCAATGATTTTTTAAACATTTTTTTACGATATTATAGTTTTATTACTTAATTACTTTCATTATATTCTTTGTTTTTGTTAATTTATTTCTTTTAAAAGTAGAATATGAAAACTTATTTGATAATATACAATTTTCATAAGATGAAAGTAGTAGTTTAACTAATTATAATAATATCGATATTGAAAATACTAATACAAGTAATCTATCAGCATTGGTCTCAATTATCTCAACAATTTCTAACAGTAAAGTATGGAAACACTTTATAAGGAGTGCAAGTTTTAAAGAGGACAAAAAGACTACTTGTAAATATTGCAAAATAATATATACTTGTAGTAAAGGCAGTACTTCTAATCTAATTAAACATTTCGAAAAAACTCATCTGGCAAAATTAAATTTAATAATTAACAATACTGAAATTATCAATTTTTTTAAAATAAAGGTAATTTCAAATAATTTTTAAATTTTTTTAAAAAAAATATCATTAATTTTTTATATTTATATATAATGAACATTCGACTCAACAAAAATAAAAAAAAAACTTGTTCAATAGATCATTATTAATCAACAACTTTTTACAGTTATCCAAGAATAGCTTTCCTTGCTTTCATACAAATACTGTATTAGCACCAGTACCATCGATTATTTTTATTAAGACCTATATAATAAACTATTATTTAAATGGTCAAGAAAAAATTCAAAAAATATTATAAGAAATAAAAAGTTGTATTTTATTTATACTTGATATTTGGACATTAGTTTTAAGGAAAGTATTTTTAGATATAATTATCTATTTTATTGATAAAGATTGGAGAATACAAAGTATAATAATAGATTTTGTACAACTGTAGAATATCCATTCGAGTGAAAGTATTAAAAAAGCATTCTTATTATGTTTAAAGAAAATTGTAATTCAAACAAAGATAAATTTATTTATATATTTAAAATAAATATAATATAGGATTAAACCAATTTATTTAATTTTAAAAATATTGGGAATTATAACTGATAATATTACAAATAATATTGCATTTGCTAAATTGATAAAAAAGTGAAGTAAAACTCAAGCAATATTTTTTAGTGCAATAGAAAATTATTTACAATGTTTTGTATATGTTATTAATTTAAATGTATAAGAAGCTTTAAATATATTAAAAGAAAATCTAAAACAAGTAAACTTATATAGTATATACAATATATTATTTTTTATATTTACTAATTTATTTATAAATAGTTACAAAAACTGGTTGTAAAAATATGATTATCATCACATCGACTAAAAATTTTAAATAACACTTGTAAAAATCAGCAAATAAAAACTTTAAAATCTATTTTAGATATAGAAACTCAGTAAAATTCAATATATAATATAATTGCACATACTATATAACTAAAAATAATATGTTTATCTCAATTATTTAACATTTATTTAATATAATTTAAACAGTTTACTATATATTTGTAAGCAATTGAATACCTTATAATATCAAGTTAAGAATTAAAAAACTATATATTTATAGATAGTAATTGAAATATATTTGAACAAATAACAAATATTTCTCAAGTATTTCATGAAACAACTACAATGGTATCAGCATCAACATATCCAATACTTTTTATTACAATTCTATTATATAATATTTTAATTGATTATCTGGAAAATAGAATCAACAATAATAGAATTAATTTGAATATTAAAAAAGTAGCAAAAATATATCAAGATAAAATTTTAGAATACTATAACAAAGCAAATAAATTTATACACTGGCAATTGTTTTAGATCTGTAATTTAAAATATAATACTTTGTTGAAAATGATTGGGAAAATTTAATTAAAAAGATAAAAAAAGAGTAAATATATTTATTGTATTTATTTTTATTTGTAATATAACTTACTAATATTAAATATTTTTTATTTTCTAGTGTTAATGATATTTTTTAAGAATATGGAAAATTAAATTCAAGAACTGTAAAAGCCATCGAAATAAGAGAGATATATAATACAATTAGGACAAAATTATTCAAACAAAGATATATAGAAAATTAAAATAAATGTTATATTTTTTATTATTTCAAGTAATAGAGAAAATAAATATTTTGGAATGGTGAAAAATAAATGAACAGCAATTTTTATGTTTGGCATATATTGCATGTAATTACTCAGTAATACCTGTAACTAATGTACCTATGAAACAAGTTTTTTTGACTAGCAAAATTTTAATTATTAAAAAAAGAAACTGGCTTTTAGATAAAACAATAAGGACATGCATGTATTTATAGTTATGGTGACAAGAGTTTCTAGCAAGCAATAATTAAAATTTTACTTAATGTGTAAAGTTTGATACTATTTATATATAAAATAGTATTTAATATATTAAATAAAGCCTTATTGGCTCTAATTATAATTATTAGAGTTTAAAAATAGAATTGCTTTATTGAAGGGGCAATTGTTAAAATAAATAATTTCAAAGTAGGTATTGTTGTCGTAAATATTAAAATTACAAATAGGAGTATTATAATTGTTGATCTAGTGCAAGCATCATAATTGTTAAAAATCGATAATATAGTATATCAATATTATATATATAAATGTAAATCTATATACTGTAAAATCTGATATATACAATTGAATACAATTGATTTATAAAAAAAAAATTGTGATTGGTTAATAAAAAAAAATTGTGATCGATTTTATTATTACTATTAAACAGTTCTTCTATTGATCAATGTAAGTAAAAAACTAGCTATCTTTATATTTTTACCAACTTGTTATAGCTTTTACTTGACATATATACTTTTTTTTTTTTATATTTTATATTTTATACAACCATTTAACAGCTAGCTTTAATTTTGTTGATTCCTAGTCACTTTGACTATCAATTTACAGATGCTTACAAGTTTTATATTCTATAGCTACAGGTAAGCAATACTTTGTTGATACTATATATGTTGTTAGTATTATTTATTACTGCTAATACTAATTATAATATTTGTTTCATTTTTCAGTTTTTTTAATCTTAACTATAATTAATTACAAGCCTTTAGTTTATACCATAAACAAGTAAACAACATTTATCGATACTGTAATGTCCTACTATTACTTTATTGCTATCTGTATTGATTGTAATACTATTTAACTAGCATAGATCAAGTTAACAAAAGTTAAAAAATTACAAAAAATTACCAATTTTTTTCTATAAAGGATGAGTAGAGAAAATTTTTAAATTGATATGCCCTTTATACAATATATTGATTAAGCATGCTATGTGCTTCAATGGGCAATTTTGTATTAATGCAGACAGACTTATATTGATACAAGGCAACATTAATGTTGTCTCCAGTGGAAAACTTTAGACTAGTAATCTTTGCTTATATTAATACTAAGATAGAAATAGTGCAGCAAGAATACTTTATGTCTCCAGTAGGAAACCTTGAACTAGTGCAAACAAGCTTGTTGTCAAATACTGTTTGCAGGTACCGGTTGAT